TAGTTTGTCCTTGTTCCTCAACACTCAGCCTACCACCATTGTGTTCCAAGGTTCATCCCTTCCTGCCTAGATTACTGTCATATCTCATCTCCCAGTTCTGAATTTCTTGGACAAACTGGACATCATGAAGCCAATCTTGAGCAGCTTTTCTAGTCTCTCTGAGCCAATAGACCTTTTGTTCAATAGCAGAGGAGCATAGCATAGATAAGTTTCCTTTTGATTCATGAGACTAAGTTCTAGTTCCCAGACATCTTCAAGATGGAGATGGAATTTGGAAGTCATTGCTGCTAAAATCAAAATAACTTAAGCTAGATTAAACATTTCTTTGTTATTATTTTACCACTTGGCATCTTGTTTTCTTTACTGCTGAGGTACCAGGGTCCTTGCCTGCTACTTGTTGGCCATCTAAGACCTTTTTACCGGGCACCTGGGTGGCTCAGTGGGTTAAAGCCTCTGCTTTCAGCTCAGGTCAAGATCTCAGGGTCCTGGGATCAAGCCCCGCATCAGGGTCTCTGCTCAGCAGGGAGCCTGCTTCCCCCCCATCCCCCTGCTTCTTTGCCTACTTGTGATCTCTGTCAAATAAAGAAATAAAAATCTTAAAAAAAATTTTTTTAATTAAAAATTTTTTAAAAAATAAATAAATAAAACCTTTTTACCCCAAGACTCCACCTCTGCCCTACTTGTTCCCAAATAATAGCCAGTATTTCTTCCCCTTTTTCCCTGTCTCCCCAGTTTTAAAAAATATATAATAGAAAAGTTTAAAATTGGCCCCATCCTTAATAATGATTTGACTAAACCATTAAAAATATGAATGGCTTATTACTTTATATCTGAATAGCTATATTATTACTATAAGTGTAATTATTAATATATTATCTGAAACTTACTACTTAATTCAAAGAATAGTGGTCTTAACTTTCTATGTATTTGGATAGATAGATAGAGAGAGAGAGAGAGAGAGATAGGTAATTTATAAACCAAATTTAAAGACTCCTGAACTTCTACCCACCCTGAACAATTAGCACCTTAGGTGTAGGGATGAATACTTTCTTGTCCAGAGTTTGACAGTCTTTTAGAAGTTATTTTAAGAATTATTTTAATTTGGGGGTGCCTGGGTGGCTCAGTGGGTTAAAGCCTCTGCCTTCAGCTCAGGTCATGATCCCAGGGCCCTGGGATCAAGACCCGCATTGGGCTCTCTGCTCAGCAGGGAGCCTGCTTCCTCCTCCCCCTCTGCCTGCCTCTCTGCCTACTTGTGGTCTCTCTCTCTCTCTCTGTCAAATAACTAAATAAAATCTAAAAAAAAAAAAAAAAAAAAGTTGAGGGCACCTCGGTGGTTCAGTCAGTTAAGTGTGCAACTCTTGATTTCGGCTCAGGTCATGATCTCAAGGTTGTGAGACTGAGCACTGCATCAGGTTCCGCAGTAGACATGGAGCCTGCTTGGGATTTTCTCTCTCCCTCTCCTTCTGCCCTCTCTCTCTTTTTCTTTCCCTCTGTTATTGAAGAAAAAAAAATTTGACTCACTAGTTTTTTGGTTTTGATTTTGTTTTGGGGGTTGTTGTTGGGGTTTTTGTTTTTTTTTTCCAATTTATAAGGTCCCAGGAAAAGAATTCAGCCTACTTAAAACCTCATCAAAACTCTGGGCTTTAGGGCACAGAGGAAAACTAATTTTTTTAAAAGCATCTCACTACTTTTTTCTGTAAAGAGGGCTCCAGTTAAAAAGATAAACTGATTTTTCTCTGTTATTTGAAGTATGGGTAAGAAACCTATTCAAATTTTGAAATCTCTCCACTGGTTTCCCTAGACAGTAAAAAATAAATAATGTTGATGATAACCATTGCCCATAACTATATGCTCACACCTTGGACAGGAATATGTGCTTCTAATCCTCTTAAAACTCAGCTTCATAAATCAGGTAGAACCTTCATAATCAGGTAGAAGAACCTTCATAATCAGGTAGAAGAACAGGAAAATGTGCTTCTAATCCTCTTAAAACTCAACTTTGTAAATCAGGTAGAACCTTCGTAAATCAGGTAGAAGAGCCCTTGTCTTATTTCTGTTTTGTTTTTGTTTTGTTCCTTCTGATTTCAGAAATCTTAGAGGAATGGACATTTTAGATGTGAGTTTGAGTCTGTTATAAACCTTAAGGAGCCGCCTTTTCTTTCTGGAGTTACTGGATTTTCTTCTGAGAATGTTATTAGGATATGGTAGATTGGAAAGACAGAGGATGTATCAAAGTAAACATTTTATGAGTTTCTGCTTTGCAGTTTAATTTACAAAGTAGACAAAACCTCTGAGCATTTCCTGTATATCTTAAAGGACAAATTTGTCACCAGTTCTCCAACCCCACTGTCCTTCTTTTTCCAACTACCCACCGCCCCCTCAACACACACACATACTTTTTTGCTCTTGTTGTTTTTAACATTAAAGCCACTTATCAGATGTGGGACTGGTGTGTGTGTTTGCAAGCACCATGCTGGATTAAGTATGCTGTAATTTATTGTCTTAATTTATGGTATATAAACCATTTTTTCTTTTCTTTTTTTTTTTTTTTTAATGTTTTAACAAGTACAGCCCAGTACTAAATATGGAGAAGTTAAAAAACCCCTTGGCACTCTAGAGGATAGAAGTCCCTGGAGTGGAGGAAGGGAGACTAGCAGAGGGCTTGGAAAATGCTTACAGTCCTAAAGAAACTTGCAATTTCCACTGGCTGATTTTCTTTAACCTCGTATTCACTGAGGGTGTGTTGGTAAATCATATTCATACATAGGAAATTTTTAGTAAGTTCCATGTTGCCATTTACATAAGATTTTTTTTACCAAACAATAATTTTTTAAAGAAATTCAGCAGTTAGATTTTCACACATTAAGTAGGCTGGTAGAGGGCAGATTTGAACAACAACAAAAAAATCTAAATAAACAAACATGTTCCTGTCACTACTCATATATGCATGGAATATCAATATGTTAACATATGCATAGCAGAATGTGTGATATAAGGAGAAACAAGACACGGTTCTTGTTTTCCGGTAAGTCTAATAAGTTTGAGAACCATGAACTCAAATGACATGAGATAGAATATTGAAATTGATATCATTGATCTGTACATTGAGGAATCTACTTGGTATTATGTGTTAATGGCAAGTAAATGGGGATCGCTGGCCCGCTGCTACTCACAGTGTTGTCTGAGTACTAGCTGCATCAGCATCAGATATGAGGATTCTCAGCCCCCAACCCCAGACCTACTGAATTCAAATCTCCAGGGGCGTGTGACCCAGCAACCGGTGTTTCAAGAGGTTTCTATGTTTTAAGAGTCTCCCAACTAATTCTTACCATTCAAGTTTGAGAACCATTGTTCTAAACTTCAGTTCCCAAGCTATTCCAATCCTCATGGTGGGCATTATTATCCAAAGTGACAAGTGAGGAGTGGGAAATCAGAGAGATAAGTAACTTTGCTAAAAGTCGTACTGCTAACATTATAGTAGTCTAGATTCAATACCAGTTCTTTTGTACCATTTCATAAATCTATACTCCTTCTTCTATTCCTGCTATCTCATCCTAGAAATTGTCAAACATGAAAGCCATTTTTCTAAAGATTTCCATCTTAGTTTTCAACTTTTCATATTACTCTTTCTCCCTAACTAAAAAGATACTCACTTTAATAATTTTACCACTGCTGTAATGCCCATAGCTGTCATCATTCTGATGCTGACTTACAAATGACAATTTTGGTTTGTTTTCCTTGCCATGTCATCATCATATGGGTCAGTTAATATCACCAGTGACCATGCTCTTATTCCTAATCAGTCCACCAGCATGTCAGTATGTATTCAGATTTGACATGGGGAGTGCTCGATTCAGCAGCACATATACTAAGATTTGGCATGGGGAACAAAACATCATTTTTGAAGTTTAATTCAATTTAAAAATAAGTATTTATTGTCCAACCATTTGTCTAATACCGTGCTCTGCAGTAGCCTTGATGTTGAGAATCTGTTTCCTGGAGCAGCAGGATATGGACCTTCTGAGTCAGAAATGCTGAGGATAAGGCCTTGTAGTCATCTTTAAAAGTCATCCAGATGATTCTAATGCATATTAAAGTTTGAGAACCACTGCTATAAGACACATGAGAAATTAGAGATGTGGTCTTTACACTTAAAGAGATTATCATCCGTTGTATCTTGCCTACTTGTCAGGGACTAAATTTAGACTAGGGTTTCTAATAGCTAAGAACTGATGGGAGTATCATGATTTTGCTTTACTGTGTCTTCAAAATTCAGAAATGCCTCCTGCAGCTCTTTGTGGGGTTTTTTTTCCTTCCTCTTTTAATGAAAGTCAATCATTCATTTATAAAACCATTTACAGAAACTTCAGTATGTTTCAGATGGCAATTACATTTTTTTTCTCTCTCCAGGGGTCCCAGTTGCAAAGAATTCTTAAAGAACAGAATTGTTTTGTTTATGTAGGCAGTCATTTGCCATGTGGGGAGCTTGAAAACAGACTAAATAAATGGTTTTGATAGTGATGTCATGGATAGTGGTGATTAAAGCAAGGATAATGCAGAAAGCTGTGCTTCTTAAACAGCCCAGGCTGAGACCAATGCCTGAAATTCTGGGTCAGTTTGAAGATTTTTGTGTGATTATATTTACAGCGAGTTATTCCTTGTTTTCTCTCAGGATATTCTGCTTCAAAGAGAAATCTGTCTTCTTCAGAGAAAGACCCAAAATGTGTATTGCACGTAGATTGCCTGCTCAAGTGTGCTCTGTATACAGAAGAACAGGCCCAGACTGTGATTCGGTTATCAGTTAGAGGATCTCTAAAAGGCACACTCTGGAAGCACCAGTCACATAGAATACAGGAGCTTTGCCTCTCAGTGGCCCTGCCCACATTATCAAATCTCATTTCTGAACTACAGATATTTCTAGGGTTCACAATTGAGCTAAATTAGGGGATCCCTATTCAGAATGAATTATACTAACCCTTTCACTTCTTGTCCTTTCTCAGCATTGTCACATTTCAAGTTATTTGGGCCTCTCCTGTGTGCCAGGTAAGAGTATAGGTAGAATGTGATGCTTATACCTTGGATAGCTTGTTACTAAGCAGCCTGGTGAGAGTTTTAATGTATAAAAAAGGTCAAGGCTTTTGTAATATCTGTTGAATCCTGGGATCTGATTCATCCCATTCCTCCATTGGTATACATAACTGAGAATAGTGGTTTGCAAATAAAGTTTGACCTAAAGTCACTTCATCCAAAATGCTGTTAGATCATCTGAATTTTGCAGCTATGTTATTCAAATACATATTTTTTTCAATGTTAATATAAGCCCTTATGGTGAGGGAAGAACACCTAGAATTCACAAGATTATCTGGCTATCCCAGTCAGTAGTATACCAGTTTGTATAATAAACCGATCAATGATTAACTAGTTTAAAAGCTGTGTACTAGGCACTGAGTAGGGGATGAATAGTAATTTAAAATACAGCCCTTGTGGCCTCTCCCCAAGCCTTAAGCCATATGAGCTTCTATTTCAAAGAGGCTTTGTTGGCCATCCAGGAAGCTTCTAGGTTTAGTACGACAGAGAGGCACTATATAGAAGCACGATATAGCAAACAAATAAAACCAAAACTGTCCCCACATCCTGCAACTCATTTGTGCCCTTATGTCACTCTCTATCCCAGTGACCCAAAGGCCTCGCCAAGGATCCTTCAAGGCCCTCTTCAACACAATTCAAAACTCACAAGAGGTCCTAGAAGGAAGATAACTCTTAAGTCAAAAAGACATGGCTCTACAACTAATGATGAGAATTTCGGAATAACTTCTTCATAAAATTGTGGACAATTAACTGGAGCTGGTGTAAAAATGCAAGGCAACTAGAAAAATGCACATTTAATCAAAGAAATACCATTTTTCATATATCAAATTGGCAAATTTTGTTAATGACCGTACCTGGTATTGACAAAGGTACAGGGAAAGAGGTGCTTTTGCACATTGCTGTAGGGAGTATAAATTTCCTTTAAAATAATTTCAAAATGTTATCATAAAGCTAAGTGGATGGGTGGGTGGAGGAAAAACAGAGTTATAGATAGAATATCTTTGACCCAGCAATTGCATTTTAAGGTATTTATCCCAAATAAATCATAGGAGACATGTATAAAGATTTAGCTACAAGGCTGTTTATCACACTATTGTTTATAATACTAAAAAACTAGACACAGTTAACATAGGGCTGAAACTCTATGCATTGGATCAATACTACTTAATCCCTTCCACCTAATCTGGAACCCCCATCCACTGCTGCTCCCACCACCATTCCTTCCCAGTGCAACCAGTAAGAAAACCATGGCTAAAAATGTTAAGTAACTTCTCCAAAAACCAACCAACCAAGATGAACAGCAGTATTTCGGTGTTTTAAAGAATTCTGTGCCGGTTACTGCTTTTTCTCTATTTCATTATAATCAAGAATGACTTGTGCAGCTTCATAATCCCTTATCTTCAGTACTGAAATCCAAAAGCACAAGTTTGTTAAGTAGTTTTATACAAACTCATTTGACAACAAAACTTGATCTGAATTGACACAAGTTTATTTAGAGTCTAACCAGTTAGTGTGAAAATAAATATATCTTATTGCAAGAATGTTAATGTTCAATTAGTGGGTGCTGCCCAGGAACTTGCTGGCAGTGTTATGTAATGCATAATGTATGTACCATTTCACTTTTCTAAAATCTGAAAACTTCTCAAACACATGTGGCCCAGGAATTTCTGATGGGACATTTTGGGCCTCTAATTTCTTCTTCAGGGAGGAGAAATCAGCACACCTGTTCATTATGAAATGAACAGTGCTTAAGATGTGGATTAATTTCTCTTTAACATTCCAGGGATAGAACCTAGTGCTTTATGTGAAAATTAAAGTTTCTTTAGCCACACTTTTTTCCTAGATGTTTCTAGTTTAGGTGGTTACTATGTTGGGACCAGATATTAAATGTTCTCCTAAAGTGGGTTAATTATGAGAATAGATTCAACTTCATCTAGAAAGGCCACTTACAGTGTTCTCTTAAAGATAATGAAAAACCGCCCAGCTTTTAGAGGTCATGATTCAGATGACCTGGCTATTAAAATGGACATACAAGAGCTATATTTTATGTTCTTTATTTTAATGCTTTTATTTCCTATTTGGACATTTCAAAGGAGACGCTTATGACTGGACTATGGATGGCTAGGACATCAAGAAAGATGAGCAGGGCTTTCCCTTTCTTTGTGAACTTGCTAGTACAGAGATCAGTGTTTCTCAGTGTCCTGTGTATACTGGAAAGAGTGAAGACTCTTCTTTCTGTGAATTCATAGATTGTCTATGGGTAATCCATAAAACAAAGAAACAAAGTTCAGCTCTCTCCACCCTCACCCAGCAGGTGGCGCTGTTAAATAGAGGGATATGACAGTGCGGTGAGCTGCCTTTCTGCTCCACAAACCCAGTTACAACCTTAGCAAGTACCCACATGTTTTTGGCACTTACTGTGTATCAATTGAAGTATTTGAAAGTCTCCTAGAGGTTCAATACCTCAAACAAGTTTTGTTTAATTTCATTTCCAGCCTTCTGTAAAGCTCTAGCTTCCTTTATGATTGGCGGTGTCAAGTGCTCACACTGAGACTCTAGCGTTAGCACAATCACTGTAGTCCTTTATAAAAGTGAAGTTCTCTTTTTCTGCACCTGGATGTTAGAATGGATTCTTTCTTCCCATTTGTAGGGAAGATTACACTCTCATCTTCCAGGTTTTGGCCCCATTACCCCTTCTGCTTGGGAAAGATCCACTACCTACTTGAATGATTTAACCAGTTTGTGGGACAGCAGCCTTAAGTGAGCCAGCCATTAGCTGCCCATTCAGCTACCCCAAGTCAAGAGAAGTAAAAGATTAAGAAAAAGGGAAGAAATAGCCAGTTGTGTCTCCCAGACCTTTCTTTTTGGAAAGACACTTTCCTCTTCTCCTCTGAGAGTAGTGTTTCAGAGTTCTGACACAGCAGGCAGTTGAACCAGTGTTACAGTCTAAGGACTAGTGATTCCTTCAGGCTGCAGTCTCATGGGGCACCAGACAGTTTTTGCTTAGAAGAACTTTCACTTCTTTTTCACAGACATTAATAGTTTCCTGGCACTGCCTTTCAGGAAATGTCGTCATGGTCTGGAGGAACCAATAAAAATACAAGTAACCTGTTTTGACAGATCTCTTTTCTGCCAGAAATTTCAGAATTGGAGGGGAGGGTGGGTGATGAACCAGTCCATTTGTGAAGGTGTAAGGAAAAATCGTGGATTTGCCATAAGAGAAGGAGGTGATACCTGCCCTGACGTGAAATATAGAGAGCTCTGAAGCTATAAAGGAATTCCAGCTCATTTAGGCAAACTTAAAAAAAAAAAAAATCTGGTTTGATAGAGTAATTCAAGTCTATAGTACAGTGGGAGATTTTTCCTTTTTTTCCTTCTCATTTCAAATAGTACTTAGTGCTTGATCCTCAAATAGAAAACTCATGCATTAGAAATTAACATTTGATTTTGGATGGATGCATAGTACTGCCATAATGTATGCAGAAAAGAGGCCATGGCTTTATTTTTTTGGTGGGGGGGGTGGTTTAAGATTACTTTTTCAACCTCTATACCCAACATGGGGCTCAAACCAGATCAAGAGTCACGTGCTCTGTGACTGGCCGACTGAGTCAGCCCAGCACTCCAAGAGGCCATGGGTTTGGATAATTATTACCAAGTGGCTAACATTAGATGCTCTTTACTTATCCCTGATATGGCCAGAGCACAGATCTGCATCCCATTAATTTGAGAAAAATTGAATGTTGCTCTAGGACATTAATTGGAATTAGTTCTGGGGGGTGATCAGCTGTTTCCCTCTTGAAAGTTTTTGAGAGAAGTTGGTCACCGTAATACTAAAAGAATGTAGTGTAAATAAAATTCATAAAATACTTCAGAAATGATTACTTGCTTCTTTTTTTTTTAAGATTTTATTTATTCGGTAGAGCACTCATCCACCCACACACAGCAGGAGGGAGGGGCAGAGGGATTTTTTAATTTAAAAAAAAAACTTCCATTTGTTTTTAAAGAGAAGGTGCTCTTTTTCTTGGTTGAACTAGCACTTACAAATTTCCTTTTTATGTCAAGTCTTTATAATTGCCCCTCTTTCAGACTTACCACTACTGATTTATGTTGGGGAAGTAGAAAAAGAAATTGATTTTGTCTCACCCACTCCATCTTTTAATTAAAAACCTGCTTTTGCTACACAGCTATTTGGATATGATGGAGAAACTTCCAGGTCAAGAAGAAAGTCAGAACAGGGATCACCATCTCCTACTCCCTGGAGGGAACTCTCAATACACATTCTGTCCCTGCTAAGACTGTCAGCCTTTCCCATCTTGCTGTACCTGGTGCCACCCTGAGAAAAGCAGTCTAAGTAGCTATTATTCTCCTCCTAAGACCACCCTGTTTCCAAGCATTCACTAAAACTAGGAACAAAAGTTCAGAAAAGCCCAAGGGTTTGAATCTTCCTTACTACTGATTCCATTCAGAGCCAAGTCCCAACTTCGATGTCCTAGGGCCAGATTTTGAGGCTAACCCAAGACAGACCTTTCTGTGTAGGCCTTTTTCTCACCCTGTTTCAAAACTGCCCTCTCTTGACCAAGGCTGTTTCTTCCCAAATGCTCCATATCTAGCTTTCCCTTCTGATTTCACTTCTCATCATCCTCTTTTTCCTGCCCAGTCTCTTTTCCAATTAGCTGTCTCTGGCTCTTGGTTTCCTCCTAAAAAGAGCCGCTATGTGAAAACTTTCAACCTGGAGAGGTGATTAAAATTCTCAAGGTTCACACTCATCGGGGCCCAACTGCATTATTTCTTAGGTGTGAACGTAAGAAATCTGACCTGTCAATCAGGTGTCTTCAGGGTGGCTTTACCATATCAACTAATTAATTACATTTTTATAATTTGGTATCTTGATCCACAGATTGAAACTGAAATACAGAGAACTCTTATCTGCAGTGGTTCATGGGACTTTTTCCCTA